ACTGTGGGGGCAGTGGGTAAACGCCCCACACCCTACATGAGCAAGAAGTGCTCATTACCACTGGGCCACTTCATCCTCAGGAACTGGAGTTGCTAATGATTATAAACCTCCATGTGGGTGTTAGGAACCAAACTCTGGTCCTCTGGAAGCACAGTCAGTGTTTTTAACTGCTGATCCATCTCTCCAGCCCCAAATAGTCTCAACAATAAACAATTTAAAATTCAGTCCTTTCTGATTTTATTCTATGAGAATTTTCCATCATGAAAATATTGCTTCCCATCACTTTAAAAGTTGCTTCATATTCTATATTATACTTCAGAAGTAATGTAATACAAGATTTAAGGCCCTATACCCCAGAGCAGCCTGCAGGTTCAAGTTCCACTTTACTACGGGTACTTTGTCTTTTCTGTGCCTAAGTTCCTTTTCTCTAATATATGAATCAAGAAATAATGCTGTATATGTAAATAAATTTGTTTTTAAAACATATATTATACAGAATTATTGTGACAATTAACTGAAACATACATGATTATTAGCACTGTCTATTGATTTTTCTTGATAGATGACCATGATGTATGATAGAATATCTATAACCTATCTCGATTCTTGACAGAAGACGCTTCATCTATCTCTCCTTTATCTTCCAGGGACACTGCTACTAAATAAATCTTAGTGTTCTCCCTACCTTTCAGGAAGACCCAACCAATACAAAGATTTTGCTGATTTGATGGGGGGGGGGGGTCATCACAACATTTTAATTATAGTTCTTTGAGAACAGATGAAGTTGAACATTGATTTCATGTTTTCATTAGTGTCTGAAATAGCCGCCCTTAACTCATGTTCTTTGAACATTTTCCTACAGGGGTATTAGTGTTTTTTTGTCCATTTGTATCAGCTCTTTATATAGAAAAGATAATAGCCCATCGGGCTTAGCTGGGTTTTCATGTTCAGAAGGTCTACCCTGCTGCATAGGCAGATGATGATGAAACATTTTACAATTTCATGTCTACTCTGATGCCAAGGGGACACACTCTCTTCCAGAGACCAGTCACTTACAGTTTCTCTTTCTTTGTTAAAAGTTTAAACATAGTCCTTTGGAATAAATATTCACATATCATAAGCTGGAAATCTAAATTGATTTTTTTCTCTTACCACATCTCTCCAGACCATTTAGCGGGCAATCTTAACCTCTCTGATTGATTTCTCATGTTTTCCAATATCATCCATTAACATTTTATAGATGCTGGATTCTCTTCCTGTTCTATGAGTTTGTCTTTTTGCTGTACTTTGTACTTGCTAAATGACTGTAGTTTTATTATCTGTTTTAATCTTTGCTATGTTGAGTCTCAATCAATAAACTTTCTAGCCTTCTGCACTTTTTCCAAAATGCAGTTATGGCCCTTTAGATTGTGCCTACACAGGGTCGCTTTATCTTTCTCTTACCGTCCAAAGACTGGAAATTCATTCTTGTTGAGGCGAGTGGAGATAATAATACAGAGAATCTCATAAAGTCTCTCCATAAAGGGGAAAAGCTAATTTGTAAAGCAGAGCTGCTTGAAACACCATACAAATATAATTAGAATGGCCTCTTTAGCCTGCATAGGAGCCTGCCAGCTTCATCTTGTTTTGTGGTGCAGAGCAACCTAAGGGTCTGTGATGAAGGATTTAACAGTAGCATTTCATAGCCTAGGAGTAGTGTATTCCTTATGGCAATGTGAAGCAATATTTTGTGGTGAATTGTGTGGCCAGAGGCTCTATCTATTCTCAGGGGGAGATGGTGGTCGTATGGACAGAAAAGGGCATGGGAAAAGAATCGTGAACAAGACTTGCTTGGTGACCTCTGCTGCCTCTGAGACCATCTTTTCAATAACTCTGGCCAGAGTGAGTTCTGGAAGCAGGGAGGAAAGGGGTGGGAATGACAGAGTGAGTGCTAGGCAGCCAGTCAGCAGTGCTAGAATATTCCTACTTGGTCATCCCCAGAGTAAATCCTACTAAGGGAGAAAAGAGGTTCAGGGGCTCGAAAGGACTTCAGACTTCCTTCGTAACAACGCCCTCCATAGCGATCTGCAATTGTGCAGATGTGCGTTAGTTGCCACAGTTTCACTTAGGGTGTAATTAAGGTTTTGTGCTATAATCAGCACCTGCTGCAACTGGGGTTTTCTTCACATCTGTGGTAAGAGGGAGTAAATCATCCTCCCCCATCTCCTTTCTTTTTTTGTTACTATTGGTTTTGTGTCTTTGAAATGAACTTAAGTATATACCTTCAACTCACTGAGATGGACAGCTAGGAAAAGGGAAAATGGACAATAAACTCAACAAGAACGGGAATGAACACACAGCTGAAGCTGGTATATATGAAATAGACTCTACAGACTCTGTGTATTAGGGTTCTCCAGGAAAAATAGAATATTGTGGGCATATTAGATGAGATTTAACATGACAACTGGCTCACACAAGTATGGAGGCCAAGAAACCCTACCAGCAGCTGTCCATGAGAAGAGAGCCAGGACAGTTGGTGTGGTACAGTCCATGTCTGAGGACCAGAGGAGAGAGCAGGATAACTCCCTGAGCCCCAAGGCCAAATGGCCAGAACCCCACTGTCTGAGGCCAGGAAGATGAATATCCCAGCTCAAAAGACAAGCTAGATGTGCTATCGAGTAACCAACCTGGCTAAAATGAACACAGTCTAAAGAGACATTTGTGCCTCTCAATCTGACTATTTAAATGTCAACACAGCACACCTGCATGAGAATTTTCCTCTCGGAATCTCATAACTCGAGAAGAAATGGCGCCATCCAGAGGGGACTTTTTCTCCCCCAAAGAGATTTTACACAGTTCTGATACCTCGCCAAAGCACCTTACAGCATGAGACTGAAGCCTAGCTAATGATGGGCTAGGGCAGGGGGACCTCACCTTCACCTGAACAGCTTAGATGTGCACATATATCCTAGGTCCTTTATCATCTTACCGTCCCTTCAGTACCTCAAGACAAACTTAGGTGAGCCCCTGGATTTTTTTTTTTGTCCCTCTTCTCAAAGTGGCTGCATTAACTAAATCTCCACTTTCTCCTTTCCACTATTATTTGGGCTCTCCTAGTTGGAGAACCTGGCTTGGGGAACAGGCCGTGACTCACCCCAAACTCGGTAGCAATGACTCCAGCTTTGCATTCTACTCAGGCCCTCAGCGGAGTGGATGGTGATCACTCACGGGTGATCTTCTTTACTGTTTACCGTTCCAAATGCTAACTTTTTCCTGGGATCCCCAGAAATGACGTCTCACACGTAAGCTCTCTAGGCATCCCTTAGCCCAGCGAAGTCAGCAGAGTAATGAGCCACCGCACAATGGGCTTTCCTTTAGCCAGGAAGTCTGTCCCAGCCACAGTTTGAAAAGACAACTGTGAAGAAAATCCGTCTGGGAGGACAAATGCTCCCCGTTTCTGGTGTGTGTGTGGGGGGTCTTCTATCTCCACGGCTGTTAAGCGTCAGCGGGCCGCCAGAGAGGCTGAGCTACAGAGCCCGTTTCCAGAACAGCCCATGCAGGGCAGCAGCTACACTCCAGCCTATCAGATAAAGCATGTGAAGTCTTTTGTGGGGATGCCGTGGTCCCGCCTACCCTCACCCGTCATTGTCTGGGCTTCAGTCTCATTCTGTAAGGAGGTCTGACAACTTGTTAGAACTCTGTGAAATCTCTTCCTGGGAGAAAAAGTCCTCTCTGGATAGCGCCCTTTCCTTCTCGCAGTGTGACATTTTTAGGACATCATAAAACTAGTGCAGGGGGGATTGGGCATTTAGCTCAATGGTAAGGCCCTGGATTCGGTCCTCAGCTCCGAAAGAAAAAAAAAAGACAAAAACTCCATCTCTTGCAGGGCGGTGGTGATGCACGCCTTTAATCCCAGCACTCGGGAGGCAGAGCCAGGCAGATCTCTGTGAGTTCGAGGCCAGTCTGGACTACAGAGTAAGTTCCAGGAAAGGCTCCAAAGCTACATAGAGAAACCCTGTCTCAAAAAACCAAACAACAACATCAAAAAACCTAGTGCAGGGATAAGAGGACGGCCCAGTTGGTGATGTGCTTCTTTGTAAGCGTGAGGACTAGAGTTCAACTCCACAACTCCACAGAACCTTAGTTTTTAAAAACGCTGGGGCGGTGCAGTACTCATCCCCCACAGATCTTTGTGGTTTACAAGTCAGCAAGTCTAGTTCCAGGTCAGCAAGAGACTCTGTCTCAAAAGAACAAGGTAGATGAGGACACAGGGGGAATGGCACCCAAGGCTGTCTTCTGTCCTCCATGTGCACACACATTGTTACACACACACACACATTGTTACACACACATACACACACATTGTTACACACACACACATACACATACACACACATTGTTACACACACACACATATACACACACACATTGTTACACACACATACACACACATTGTTACACACACACACATACACATACACACACATTGTTACACACACACATATACACACACACATTGTTACACACACATATACACACACACATACATACACACACATTGTTACACACACATATACACAAACACATTGTTACACACATATACACATACACACACATTGTTACACACACATATACACACACACATACACATACATTGTTACATGCACATATACATACACACATTGTTACACACACATACACAACATTGTTACACACATATACACATACACACATTGTTACACACACACATACACATACATTGTTACACACATACATATACACATACACACAAATTGTTACACACACACATATACACATACACACATACACACACATACATACACACACATTGTTACACACACACATACACATACACACACATTGTTACACACACACATACACATACACACACATTGTTACACACACACATACACATACACATACACACACATTGTTACACACACACACACACACACACACACAAAACCTGCTTCAATTCTTAGAAGTAATAAGACATCATATCACATTCAGACTAAATAATAAAATCCAGGACCAAGATTATAAATATTGCTTGGAATAGGAAAGGCATAGCAGTCCCAGGTAAAAACCTTATTTTTGAAAAATTAAGTCATGACATTTCAGAAGACATAAATTAGCATATTAATTCAACACATGGATGCTGTAGTCACACAGACCCAGATCTGAATTTGCTACCTTAAAGCTCTGAGATAAGGGTTCTCTTCATCTGTAAAGGGGCAATGTTGGTATCCCTTACCTCACAAGCTTGCCACAGACATTACATGACATGGCCATGGTCCACTGTAAGTGTTCTGTAAATGGCAGCTCTTCCTTTTACTGTTGGTATTTCTCAACAACAACCAGGCATTAGAAGAGGCCAGTAAGGCTCTCTTCTAATTGGATCACACTTAAGTACTAGCAGAACACATGAGTTCCTCTCCTGTTTTCAGCAATACGCAGACAAAGGGGAGAATGTGATTGCCCATAGCAAGTCTGCTTCACTCAGAAGTGTCCTTTAGATTTTCTGGAAACCTCTCGTATTCAACTCAAATCGTTTCTTCTTGAGCACCTCATGTGAAGACAGAGAACGACGCCACGCCTTCCTTAGTGACCTTTCAGATGCATCACTCTTGACAAAGTTACAGCTGGGCTCTCTGCCCCTTTCTCATGCTCACACACCCAACCCAAGCCCAGGGCTAATTTCTCCACCACCGCCAACTCTGCAAGAAAATAAAGGAAACAATATATTTACTATTTGGGTTACAGTTTGCTGCAAGGAAAACCAGAAATCCTAAATCCTAGAGAGCGACATTCAGATCTGTTTCACATACATCAAAGAACTGCTATGTACCAAGAACAACGGCAGAGCAGAGCATCTAACTCAGGATAATGGATCACACACGGCCAAAAATCAGACACCGAAGGATGATGAGTTTGTGACAGCGTGGCCAGGACCTGAGCAGAAGAAAGGTTTTGACAAAGAGCATGATTTGTTTGAGAGGTCGGTATCTAGCCTGCTCAGATTGCTCTGACAAAATACCTGAGAGTGGGAAGTTCATCAGGCTATTCCTCATAGTTTGAGAGGCTAAGAAGTCCAGGATCTAGATGCCAGGGATGAGGTAACTGGTAAAAATGTTCCCTCTCGTTTCCATGGTTGTGCCTTCTTGCTGTCTATTGATGAAGGAAGAAGCCCCAGTCCAGAGTGACAAGAGAGTACGTACATGCCTGTAAGAACTGGAGACACGCAGGGAATACACCTAGGGAAACAAACGTTCTGGAGAGTGCAGGAGGGCAGAGAGAACAGAGGAGGTAACAGCGCACAGTGGCGCTGGACTACAGTATCCAAACAGAGGACAGAACTGTGGGTTCAGGTAAGCCCATCTCGCCAACTCTCTTGAAGAGTTCTTTGTGTGGTGTGTGTGTGTGTGTGTGTGTGTGTATGTCCACTGCCTTCTTCATCACTTGTCTCTGAGACAAGTTTTCAAGGAAGCCCTCAGAATCTGCCTGTCTCCACCACCCCAGTGCTGGGTAATTATAGACATTAAAGCTGTTGTTTGGATACTGGGGACTAGAACTCAGGTCCTCCTGTCTGCACAGCAAGGGCCGTACTCACCGAGTCATCCCCCAGCCCTCCGTCTCGTTTTTATTCAACAGAAAGTAAATGTGCATGCTTGTGAAGTCTGATGTGATAACTGATCATACTGTATAGTGATTAAACCAGGATAATTAGCATGCCCATCACGTCATACATTCATCATTTCTTTGTAGAAAAACATCTTTAAAGTCTTTTGGTTATTTTTTCTTAAAAATGTTTGATTTATTCAATTTTCTTGGTTTTTAAGTATTTTGAAACATACACTATATTACTGCTAACTATAGTCACCCTGTAGAGTAATAGAAAATCAAAACTTATCCCTAACATTTCACTGTAATTTTGTACCTATTGGCCAATCTGAGTCCCCACCTGCCCCCACTTCTTCCCAGGGTCTCTGGTAACTCACTAATTGTAGTGGTTTGAATGAGAAATGTAGCACACAACTTTAATCCCAGCAATCAGGAGACAGAGACAGGTAGACCTTTGTGAGTTCAAGGCCAGCCTGGTCTACACAGCAAGTTCCAGGCCAACCAGAACTAGATAGTGAGACCCTGTCTCAAAAAAGAAAAAGGAAAGAAAAATCTTAAAGATTGCATTGTACCAACACACACATACACACACACACACACACACACACACACACACAAACACAAACACAAACACACATATCAAAATGAGTGAGTTCATTAAGTTTATGTACAAAAATTACTAACATTTTCTTTTTTAATTTATTTTTATTTTTATTATTTTTTTATTTTTATTTTTTTCTGGAGCTGAGGACCAAACCCAGGGCCTTGTGCTTGCTAGGCAAGAGCTCTACCACTGAGCTAAATCCCCAACCCCTTTTTTATTTTTTTTTAAATTTTTTTATTTTTTAACATTTTCTTTGTTAATAATGAATTATAGCCCCCCCCCCATCAAGAAAAAAAATCCATTTACAATAGCTACAAAAATATCTGGGAATAAGTTTAAGGAGGTGAAAGAACTCTACATCAAATGCTGTAAAACATGGGTGACAGAAAGTAAAGATATACAAATAAACAGCAATATCAGAGAGATGTCTCTGTATTTGTGGATTGGCCAAACTAATCATTTTAATTTTTATGAAGTTAAAATAATAATGTGCTTATTGCTTTTCAAATGTTAAATATAATCTTTAAACAACACATGAAAGCATGTCTTTTGATTATAGAACAGACAATCAATGTTACCAGTTTTGACAATGCAAATATGAAACTGGAGGTGTTAGAAGTTTGTAAATGGGAAGGGATGGAGATGGATAAATAGAAGAATAGAGGCATTGAGATTCTCACCTTATAAGATGGGCAATCAAGGATGATGTCTCTGGTTAATGAAACAAAAACTGAAGGTATGCTAATGACTTTTAAATTTATTAGTAAAGTGGTCAACAGTGAGAGAGTCTCTCACTTCTCACTTCCTATAGGAGAAACTCTAGGTCGTGTCTAAAAGGGACAAGTGAAGTAATGATAGAATGGAAGAAATGCCTGGAATGCATTAGACATGGTTGATTTCAGGGAACCATGTAGAACCAAGTAGAGATGGGAAGGGATATTACTCCTAGTCATGTGCCCATATTACTCAGATAAACAGTCTACACAGGTAAGTGGGATAATTGAGAGAAAATGGGCAGACTGGACTCCTTTTTAAAGAATAGTTACACGATACAAGTTCTGGAAAGGTAATGCATCAAGGTAATTGGAAAGAGAAGAAGTCATAGAAGGGACATTAAAGCTGCCAGACTTCGGGCCCTCCTGACAAATTATGGGTTTATTCCTACCTTAGTGTAAGACTTGATGTTTTTAAAGGATTTTGAAGAAGATAATATAATGAATTATCTCTTTTGGTTAGAAAATTACCTACAGCAGAATAAGAAAAGCAAGATGAGATACTGCTTCCAAAAGTGTTCCATAAATTGTAACTGTGACTATTAACTGTAAAGTACAACACAAAATTCTATAAAAATCATTCTAATCAAAACTCATAAAATACATGCACCAAAAACCTTATGAGACACCACTTCATACCTACCAAGATGGCTATGCTTTTAAAAACAAAAACAGATTTTGGCAAGGATAGAGAAACCGGAGCCCTCAGTTACTGGTGAGAATATAAAATGGTAGTCCACTTCAAAAAACAGACGACATCTCTTTCATTGCTCTCCTACTCTGTCCCTGCTCCAGCTTGACCATTCTGTTCACTTATGTTCTCACCCCGTCCCCTACCTTCTATCCCCCGCCCCCCCCCACCGCCAGTTTACTCAGGAGATCTCATCCATTTCCCCTTCCCAGAGTGATCCATGCATCCCTCTTAGGGTCCTCTCAAGCAAATTTCATTGCATGGTATGGAAAACTTCATAAAGAGGAGATGAGGGAACCGTAGAAAGAAAAGAAAGCCAGAAGAGGCCTGTCTTTCTTTAAACTAGAAAGGCTATTCTTAAAAGGGAACTGGAATGTAAAACATCCCAACTTGGCACATGGAACACTTTCTCCTCCCAAGTTCATTACACTTCTTTCTCTGTCTCCGAGCTAAGGGGCTGGAAGGCACAGCTCTTGGACATTTTCCAATTAGATCTGGATTTGTACCTATGAGAATTCCTTGATCTTCGTCGTCTTCAGGCTACATGCAGTTCTCAGAGCTCACAGCTTATCACTGGGATGTTAGGATAATGAAACACTGGCTGCCATAAACAAGTCCCATTTATTCTATTCATATCAAATATTTTAGAATAAATAATTCCTGCTTTAGGAATTTTTTTGGAAGTTAAGGTCGTGTAAGTCAAAGTGATTATACATTTGAATAAGCATCCATCTACATAGAACAGTTAAGCTTTTAGAGAATATCTATAAAGTCTATCCAGCTTTGGAAGACTCTAATCACTCTGTCCCTTTGTCCTATCTCCAGGTTCTTCAGAAAATTGTGCTAGGAAAGGTTAAAGTCATAGGCAATGGCCGTCCTAAATTTAAAAATCAAACTTTTTAAATTCCAAGTTCAACATTTTTCTTAATGTTTCCACAGTTACCTTATAGGATTTCAGATTCTTTCTTGGGACCCAATGAGTTCACCCCATGTAACATTTGCCTTTCAAAGGAAGGGAAGGAGGGAGGGAGTGGGGGAGGGAGAGGAGGGGAGGAGAGGGGAGGGGAGGGAAGGGGAGGGGAGGGAGGAAAAAATGCTCTTCATTGGCAAAAAAGAGGAAGTCTATTTCTTCCCAACTGAGAAAGGAAACTCCTGTTAGCCAAGAAGGAAATGCAGCCCGTGTTAGCTCTAACGGAGAATAAATAAGTGTTCTAACTGTGTAGCTGGGCTCCTGGACAGGGACTGATACGGGACTTTTTGTAAGTGATTTATTTTGGTCTTTTATTTAAAGCATCCTTTATTTTTAAACCATTTGATTAAAAGCCAAATTACAAGCTTAGCAAATTTCATACTTGGCAGTTTTAATATTCCAAAAATGTCCTTACATTCCCATCACTAACTTCAAAAATGAAATCAACCCCTCTTCAGGACACTGGTCAAAGGCAGGTCATCCAGAAGCAAATTAAGACTTCCAAATATATACAAACCGATCCCCCCACCCCACCCCCCATGTTCTGAAAAAGCAAACCTTCTCTTCACCTTCTCCCAAGGTTCTCTTCCTGCTCTCCTTGGTCCACTTACTTTTTATTTTCAAAATTTTTGAGTTTCTGGGCTGGTTGTTTTCTAGAAAATCAAAATTAGTCAACCATAGAATATTCCCACAGAATATTTCCAATTCTTCTGTTCTGTCTAGCTGTTGCTGGTTCACGTGAATTATACTGTGAGGCCAGTGAAACGGAAGAAGACAGAGTGAGCAAGAGGAGCCGGCTGATAAGCTGGCAAACACGAGCTTTGTCTGACAAGAGTCAAGCTTACTAAAGGAATCCGCATTGGGACAGAAGGAAGGACAAAGACATCGCATTAAAGGCGAACCTGGCAACTGAGTAAGAAACTCAGTGTTAAAAAGTTGAGTATGTGGAGACTGTGGCTAGACCCCCACCCCTACCCCACCCCCCAGACTGTTGGAGTCTAGAGACAAGAATGGAAGATGGCCTCTATCATGAATCATACCATTTCACCCCCTACCCTCCACAACTCTTGTCTGAGATAAGGATAATGACATCCTCCTGTAGTGGGTAGCTGTTCTAGCTATGGCCATGAAGCGCTGCCCCAAGAGAGACAGCAGGTGACTGCTATACCTGCCTATGACCTTGAAGTACATACCCCTGGGGCATGGCCGCTTGGGACCTTTAAGACCTGGGATGCACATACGTGGCTCTCTCTTCACTCCCTGGTGGTTTAAATGCTGGGACTGACCAGGCAGAGCTTGGACCAGGCAGAAGATCAGCATGGGACCCAGCTTGGCTTTCCTGGATCCTACAATAAATCTCCTGTGCTGTAGTGAGTTACCCCTAATAAATTCCTTTGCACATTAAATAGACTCTGTGGATTTCTCGCTTTATCCTCATATTTGGAATCACCTTTACCATAGGCATGGATATGTCCTATTGAGCTGACTCTATCACTGAATTCAAGGGTTGAGGAAAGTACTTAGCCTACCTGTCCATTCCGCCCCTTGGTCACAATGGCTGGTTCAGGTTGACCAACCCCAGTGATCCTGTGATCTGAACCTCCTTTGGTTGAACTCCGGGAGGACACTGTAGCCGCCCATGGAACAGCTTGTAGAGTCTTAGGACGGAGCCATCTCTTGGCGAGTAGCTGAGTACAGTGGGATTCTCAGGTCTGCCAGCACTGCTTGGGCAGCAAAACCTACTCCAAATGAAATTTCTGTAGTTTTCCTTCATGACCAAGGAATTCCCCATCTCTGATTTAAAAAAAAAAAAAATGAATTTAGATTGTGTATTCCATCACCGACACCAGAAAGAGTTCAAACTGATACACATTTCATGTCGATGAATGCCTTTGTGTCAGCTATAAAATATGAATGTAGTCATACTCTCAGCCTCTTCTATTGAGAGAAAACTTGCAGATTCTGTCGAACTAGACCTTGCTGATAGATATCTAGGACAAATGGGAGCAATAATGTACTTTGTAGACTAAGAGACTCTGCAACATCCCCGTCCTGCTTGAGAACATTATTGCCATCAGAAGCCCTTCATATGCACGCCACTGACCACCAGTGGGACCAAAAGTGTTTCCACCAATCTGAGGTCAGCAGTGCCCACACTGCCACACATAGGGAGCTCTTTATTTATGTGAGCAATCAGAATTTAGTAATTAAACTGAGCCGTAGTGGTGTTTCACTTTATATGCAACGTGAATCAATTTAGAAGTGAGTTGCCAGTCATTAGGGACTGATAATACAATAATAAGGTTATTTTTTTTAAATTGAATGGAAAAATAACAGAACACTCGCTATAGGTTGTGAGAAAAGCACACTATTCCATTGGCTTCATGTACTGGCTTTGTGTTTTAACATCACCACCCACCCCATCCCCACTATGCAGGGAACTGAATGATCCAGGACCTCACATGTATCACTAAGATCGATCACTAATGCCCCAGATTAAGTCTTGATCACTTTAAAGACAACACTGATGGAGGGGAAAGGAAGTGAGCGTTTATTTCTCAGCATCTGTTAATGGACCAGCTACAAGGCTTTCTGTAGCACCTACATGATTTAAACTGAACTGGGCTCAGAGAATAAGGGAATTTGTTAACTCACATGACTAGGAAGGCCAGAGGGAAAACTTCAGGGTAAGTTGACTCAAAGGTTTGTAATACAGCCAGGGCCATTGCTTCTGTTTAATTATTATTGTTTTATGTGTCTGGTTATTATGCCTGCATGTATGTCTGTGCACCACATGCATGCCCAGTGTCCACAGAAGCCAGAAAAGGGCATCAGGTTCCCTGGAAATGGAGTTACAGCTGGTTATGAGTTACCATGAGGGTGCTGGGAATCGAACCCAAGTTCTCTTGAAGAACAGTCAATGGCTCTTAACCTCTGAGCCATCTCTCCAGCCCTCTGTTGTTGTTGTATTATTGTTATTGTTATTTTATTTTGTGTTTGTTTCATGCCCCAGTTCCTCCAGTGTTTCTCTCTTGTATTGACTAACTCTTCTTTGAGTGAGTGGCAAAGTGGAATGACTAAATGTATTCTCATTTACATTAGGGGGCAAGATGGGTTTCTCTTCTTTTAACTATAAAACCAAATTAAGTTGCACACTGACTAGACTTACTCATTTCTTCAAAAATAAAAATTGAAACTTACCATGGCCAAAAAGATCACATGCAATGCTAATTTCCGGCTGGAATAAACAGCCCCTGCCTGATTCAACAGCATGGTGAAGTCTAGGCTAACGAGAATTCACTTCCTGAGCTGGCGACAAACACGTGATCGCTTGGTCCACAGAGCTCCTACCTAAAGTCAGGGTGAAATGGCTGTTGAGAGAGAAGCCATCGTACATTTTATCACTGTGTGCTAGGCTGGAACTGAACCGTAAGCAGAGCTGGCTATGCAGAGCGCCCTGGGGCCAAACTGTAGGAGTCGTAAGTGAAAATGGACTTTTTCCTCTAAGTACATTTGGAGAAAGTTATGCAGAGCCACCTCATGTGAGAGCCGTAATCCTGAAGCCTGGCATAACTCCACAGTAATTTTCCCACAGGAATAAATGGAAACCAGGGAGAGATGGATTCTCTTAATATACAAATCTATTACCATTATTGCCTAATTTTATTTTACGTTTGCTTTATAGTTTCTCGAGATTATTTCTTATCCCATAGCATGCTTTCTCCCGAATGACTAGTACAATGTTAAGGCATTTGGCCTTGCTTTAGCGTGTGTAATTGCTGTCCCAAACACACTGAATTTAGGCCTCTTTTCTTAGCACTGTCATTTGGACCACCTTCAAATGAACGCGCTGACAGGATGACAATCGGAGGCTAAGAATATTTCAAATCGTAACAGTGAATGTAAAGGCAAAAGAGCCACAATCACAAAGTATTTATAGAAGGTACTTTGGGTGCCCTGGTCACATCCCCTAAGTTCATTTCTAACCACTAGTGCTGGTCACGGTCTCTGTCGCCGGCTCTCAGCCCACTCGTCAAACCTTTATAACTCCCTGAGAAGCACAGACATTAGGGTATATTTTGCTGGGCTATTTGGCCTTTGACCATGGTTCCTGACCAAAACAAAACAAAAAGCACACAAAAAAGCTCTCGATCTCCTGGAATGCCCCGAGTGACCAGAGTGGGTTTTTGTTCCAGCGAGAGGTGACTCTTGGTGGCCCCCTAAGTGGAGGCCATTCGCCAGAAGGATCATGGCTAGAAGCTTGGGATTTTATCCTCACCTCTTATCCTTTGGAGAGGTGGGGGAGGAGCTGGAGACTGAATTAATAATCCATCGTGCCTATGTGATCGGTCCTCATAAAATATGGGTTAAGATCCGCGGAGTCTGACAGCTCCAGGGGAGGTGGCCACAGCAGAAAGAATGTCCTGGCCCCTTGCCACACGCAATTCCTCAGCCTGGGATTCCTAAACTGTACTGTGCACTGTTCACCAAGTGAACTGTTCTGAGTTCTGAAAGCCAGGCTAACAAATGACAGACCCGATTGGGGGTGGGGGGTTGCAGAAGCTGAATTACAGGTGGCCAGCTGCTCAGAAGCACAAATGACAATCTGGCCTTGTGACTGCATGGGATGGGAGTCTTTTGAGACTGGCCCTTTACCAGAGGGAACTAGCCCTCGCTCTGGTTAGTCTCAGGAAAGAACCAAACGGTAAGACACCTGGTTGGTGCCTGCAGAGAATCCAGCAAATCTTTGCAGTAGGAAGCTCCCAGATGTATGAAAACAGGAGTTGGTGAAAGTACGACAGCTGAAATAAAAACAATGAGAATTTATATATATATATATATATATATATATATATATATATATATATATATATATATATATAGACCATCTCAGCTCAAACGGCACTCTAATTTTTGTGTTTCTGTCTCTGGGTTTTCTTTGAAATATTAAGCTCACCTGACAAGCAAAGCCAGGAAATGTAGTAGTTGCTCAACAAATACTTGTTGGATGAGTGAGTGACTGCTAGTGTATCATTGTGGGAGCCCAGCTCCCATGTTTTGAAGGGTTCTTTGGTGGAGGAGAGAGGAATGAGGAAATATCAGATAGAAAGAGAGACCTAGATATTGAGAAGAAAGACAGAAACTCATTACAGCTTTTGGAGGGCCTGAGTCAATACCCAACAGCCTCGTCCTTTATTGAAAAGGACTTTTTATAATATGCCAAGGGGAGAGGCAAAAGACCTCGCCCTTGCAAGATCAAAGCACACTGTACAGCCAAGTGTAGACCCTTTCAAACACCTGGCAACCACGCCTTTGGCCAAATCATCTCCTTATGCAGCCCTGCTGGGTAAAGCAAGTACAGATTCTCTGACCCTGAGTAAGGTCTCACTAAGAAGCCTCTGTGGGTCTCCACATATCATTCCATTAAACTCCCCTGTCAGAACATGAACTCCCAGGCCTTTGCTACATAGTAAGTGGCAAACTTGTTTGGAACTGCTGGGTGGGGGCTGATCAGGACAATCTGAACTTCCTGGGACCTGACAATACTGCCCAGGTGATGGAAGGACTCAACACAAATGTTGTCCAATCTGAGAGCTACTGCCCACATGTAGATATTGAACACTTGGAATGTAGCTGATGTGAGCGACTAAACAAACTTATTTTAGCTAATTTGCATTTACATATAAAGAAGTAGGTTTGTCTAGTAACTGCCATAGACGACAGCGAACTGGCAGTTGCCTCCACAAAAGTCCTTCTTTGCCACGTTCAGCTGAAGTAGCTATTGAGTAACAAATTGCAGATGTACAAAATTATTAGTCTGCCTGGGAAGGTGGGGCTTAGAGCAGTGGTTCTCAAACTGTGGGTCACCACCTTTGTGGGGGTATATCAGATATCCTGTGTATCAGATATCCTGTGTAACATTTTAATTCATAATGATAACAGAATTGCAGTTATGAAGTAGCAGCAAAAATAATTTTATAGTTGGGGTTCATCACAACATAGGGACTGTATTAAAGGGGCAGAGCATGAGGAAGGTTGAGAACCGCTGGCTTAGGACAACCCCATGTCAGGCACGATACAAAGTCTTGGTTGCATTTAACTTGTTTTATTTATCAGAGTTAAGACTGAGAACAACAGACAGGTGGAACCAACAAGTTATTCCTGGTATGGTTTCCTTGGTGTGTGTTTTTGCTGTGCTCTAAGCACATATTTTTACCGCTGGATTTCTTTGGGTTGGCTGAGGGGAGCAGAGGAGGCTGTGACTGAAAATGCTTGTGACAGTTTCTAATCCAGCCCTTTCAGGTTCATTTACATCTAAATAAGGCCCAACCTGCTGCTTTAGAAAACCGTTAGTGTCTGTGAAAGCATCTTTAAATCCTTTATTATTTGAAGATGTCCCTTTGGTAAGAAGGAAAGGGAACAGGCACTTCACGTGGCTGTCGGTGTTGAGGTCACAAAGATGGAGCCTGTGGTTTCACGTCACTAAAATTAAACACACTCTGCCTGCATATACCTTCTTCCCGGTGGGTTAGCAGATAGGTCAAAGGCACACAGATGCCGGGGTTCTGTTCCCAGCTCTCTCGCTGACTCAGACTCCGACCTCAGGAAGGCTGAGGTAGATTTCGACGACGCAGGCTCCTGAATGTGCAATCAGTATGAAGTGTGTGCTCCGGGCTCTGTGCCTCCTCTGGAGATTCTCACAGCATCCGTGGAACAAGTTGGAATTCAGCCACAAACCATGTTGACAAGTTCCCGGGGCTTCCCAAGGACCACTTTCTGATATCACCACCTGAGAATCACCCTTGTCTCCCACACACTGCCCTCTCCTCCCCCTGCTCTTGCAGGGCCCTTGTTTCTCATAGACTTAACCAATTAATTGACAGCAAGCATGGCTATAGGATTCTTTCAGATCTTAAGAGGGTAAACAAAGGCAGCTGGGGAAGTCTCCCACACAGTATCATTACTTAAATCTGAGGAAAGCAGCCAAGCACACTGATGATGCTCATCAATTGAAACAGATTTGATGTCCACAAAACTGACATTAACCCGAGGACACGCACATATTATATATACACCTTACCTGCCAGACCCGAGTACTCAGTTTACTGCATTGCACGTTCCTTAGAGTGAGACCCGGCTGGATCTGCTTATCAAGTTCACCTCTGGCTGAAGTCTGCTGTCTGTTCCAAGACTCCAGGCTTGTTGTCAGAGCTCTTGGGAGTCCTAGGGAGCCAGTGTGGCCAGTAGCATCCGGGAAAGTGTCATCCTTGTAGAATCCAAGAATCTTATGGAAGCCAATAACAAAGTGGTACCTATAACCAGGTTTTCACGGGCACATCTTTAAAAAGTTAAATTTCACCACTACAGCTTGTATGCTATGGGAAATGAGTTGCTGCAGGAGGGTTCCAAGCAGATGAACAAATTGGACTTAGTGTGAGAGTCTGACAGAGTCTAGCTCCAACCCGTTCCCTCCTATTGAAGGGTTCTTGGAGGGTGGAGAGAGGAATGAGGAAATGATAGATAGACAGAAAGACAGAAAGAAATGATAAGAAAGAGACTTTGGGAGGGCCTGGGTCAATACCCAGGCACCCAGAGCTTTATTCAAAGGGGCTTTTTATAATATGTCAAGGGAAGCGGCAAAAGACCTCCCCCTTGGAAAATCAAAGTACACCATACAGCCAAGCATAGACCCTTCCAAACACCTGGTAAGCACGCCCCTGGCCAAATCATTCTATTATGCAGCTCTGCTGGGTAAAGCAAGCTCAGATTCTCTGACCCTGAGTAAGGTCTCACTAAGCCTCAATGGGCCACCATACCTTTGCTTTTAAAGTTCCTCTGGGGGCTGGAGAGATGGCTTAGTTGGTAAAGTACAGAAAGTACTAAGCGCGAGGACCTGCATCACATCTCCAGTACCCATACGGAAAAGCTAGGCAAGCAGCAAGTGTTGGCAATGCCAACGCCAGGGAGGCACAGGGAGCAGGGTCTCTGAGGCTTGCTGGCTAGTCACGATTGCCAAATCAGCGAGCCCCAGGCCTACGAGAGACCCAACCTTAAAAAACAAAGGCTTTGAAGGTGAGACACCCCACATTGTTCTTCTCTCTTCGCTCCCACACATGCACATATACCTACACAAACACACACAAAATAGACAAATAAATAAATAAATAAATAAATAAATAAATAAATAAATAAATAAAATGAATAAATAAAATGAATAAATAAATAAAGAATAAATAAATAAATAAATAAATAAAATGAATAAATAAATAAAGAATAAATGAATGAATGAATGAATGAATGAATGAATGAATAAATAAATAAATAGGACCTGGTTTCTGGGCTTGAGTCTCTGAGTATTACTCACCGCTATATTTCCATCATTGTGTGTATTCCTAAAAGTGAACTTCATTCTTCCTCTGTCTGCTGGCTTGCTTCCTGCCCTTCCCCATCTGCAGCAGGCTCGGTGGGTGCCTCCATAGCTGTGCTGCCTCCATCCCAGCTTCCACACCCTCCCTCTATCAGCTGGCTCCACCTGCTGACCAAGCATCTCTCTTCTCGGCTCCTCTGCTCCAAGGGTCGGGGCCGAGCAGTACGGACTCCTTACAACATTAAAGATGAGTTGATAGCTTGTTGTCGTTCCTTGGTCCTGAGCTCTGGATTTGTTCGACTTGACATGAAATTGCCACTCCTTTCTCAGGGCCGAGGCGGCTCAAATCCATGAGCACTCCTTTTTTCCCACTGGGGACTTGACATTTGCGAACTCTATCACTCCTCCTTCTCATACGGACATTCACTTCCTCCTAAGGATGTTCCCACGGTTTTCTGCATGTGAATCTCTCTGTCTTTTGGCTGGCTGTCATAAAAAGTAGCTGAGCTAGCTAGTTTATTGTTATTTAACTCTTCATATAATTACAGACAACCTGGAAGATACAGATAAGTTTAAATAGGATAAGTATTTGCAAGCATCTATGACCCGCTGACCAAATAGAAACACATTTTCTAAAATTATGCATATAAACATATAGTTTTATAAAATTAAAAAAAATGCATAAATATTTTTATTCTGCTTTTTAACCTTATATTACATAATGTGCATTTCCTAATCTTATTAAGTAAATGTGATTGCAGAAGATTCCACTGTAGTTGTGTCGTTATTTAATCAGCCTCTTATGTAAGAATATTGGCTGCTCCCAGGTTTATGGTATTACAATCACATTATAATCAGTGATTCATACTCAGATAACTGAATATATCTCTGGCAATTTTATTCTGCTAAGTCCTTGGAAGTGGACTTGCTGAATCAAAGGATAAAAATATAGGGCCGGGCAGTGGTGGCGCACGCCTTTAATCCCAGCACTCGGGAGGCAGAGCCAGGCGGATCTCTGTGAGTTCGAGGCCAGCCTGGGCTACCAAGTGAGTTCCAGGAAAAGGCGCAAAGCTACACAGAGAAACCCTGTCTCGAAAAACCAAAAAAAAAAAAAAAGAAAAAAAAATATATTAAAGGTGGGATAAGACTCTAAATGAAAAATTTAAATCCCAGAAGGAGTAGAGAGACACAAGAGGATGTCAGGACCCTCATGATCCCCTAACCAAGGGCATAAATCAAGTTGAGGAAGGTCTTAGGAACCCTACAGTAAGGCCTTCAATCGGTTCAACTAATTTCCGAAGAGGCCTGCCCCTGCCGGAGCATGTTAATCAGCATTGATGGAGTGGCTTCAGCTGTCAGGGCAGCAGATGGGGAAACACACCTGGCCTCACACGTTACTGGCTTCTAGCTCTCTCCTTTAAAATGAGCAACAGACGTTGCAAAAATGTAATCATGTTCAACCTGCCTCTGTCCAGGCGGTGAGGCAGCCATGGACCTTTGCTCTGATTCCTAATTAAAATTTAAGGTTTTACTAACTCTGAAGAGCAGCTATTGAATAGACATGAGAAATTTGTAAAACATTAGTGCTATATAGATCCCAGAGTTGGGGTGGCAGCAGATCGCTCAGGCACACGCGCCGTCAGCAAAACTGGGATTTTATGCAGACACATCACAGAAAGAACCAGAGGGGGATTTTTTTTCCTTTGAATGTTCTATAATAATCACCTCTGTATGATTATTCTCCTACCATTGCACATTGATCCTGGGCATATACCTATGATGTAAGTCAAAATACCTGTTATTTTTTCAGAGATGGCAAAGCAGACAGACGATTTCCTTTGTCCCAAGTCATCTGCGCACAATTCATTTCCTTTAACTTTATTTGAATGCTTCCTATGAACTAAACAGCGTGCTTTAGTGATTTGCAAAGGGAATAAAGACAGGACCTCTGACCTCAAGGGAAGGCAAAGTCTACTCACTGGAAGCGAAGGCTACGCTCATGTGTCGAAGCACACTTAGAGCATAATAAAATCAGCAGCATGTCTAAGAGGAAGTGAGCTCCACAAAGCCTTGGAGTCAACGATTGTGAAGCAAGCAGTACAAATGACGACGTAATCTCTTATCTGGGAAAATTCCATGAATGGAGATCTAATTCGAAGATTCCTTCTCTCTGTTAAACTCCAACGATCAGACACATCCACCCCCAAACCAAAGCTTGTAAAGATGAGGAAGTCCTCTTTAGCTCCCTTTCCAGTGAAATAATTACTCTTTGTACAAACTCACAGTAAGCATCAATTTCCATGTAATTAACATCAGTGTCTTTGTTTGCATAATTGGTGAATGCCATATCACACAGGATACCGATCCAAGAAAGACAGATTTAAATGAGCAGATCTGTTTGCGACTGTAGCTGCCTTAGGGAAACAATAACACTCTGCAATTCGGTGACAGACTAGAGGGATCGGGAGTTATTTAGACAACTGTCCTCCCTCTTTTTTTCCTGGTGTTGCTGGACACGTCCCCACTTGCTATTTACTAACACCTGGGCCTGTAAAGCGGCCGAAACGAGGGAAGGGCAGACACCCAACACGATTTCTGTAGTAGTTCTGACAAAAGGGTCTGTTAGGAGAGAGCGCTGAAGTATAGAATGGTAGGAGGCTTAGAAATGTTCGTTGTCATGCTACTTTCACCTGAAGAATGCCAGCTGGATATTGTTGACGTTAAATATTCATAAGCTTGAGTCTTCCAAAAATGTAAATGTCTAATCACTACTCATCCGTAAGCTGCTTGTCTTATATTTTCACAGGGGGTCCAGACAGTCTGGGGCTGTTGCACCTTTAGGGACATGAATGGATGTCCCTGTCGCCAAACATGTTCATGTTATAGCTTTCACCCAGCTTCTATGTAACTACTGAAGCAAATCTACGGATGAGAAATAAATGCAGACGCTAGAGACCCTGGCCCTTTACGGCACTCAATCATTCTGACTTTGATTCTATTTATCAGGAAGTGAGTGTTAAGGAATGAATCATGTTCATTGAATAGATGCTAGCGGGATCAATAGACACTCTGCATCGTACTCTTCTTGACTGCTGCCAAGGCTGGCATCTAAGGCAGACACGAAGCCGGCAGCACTCCCACCACCGAGCGGCAGCCTCCCGTTCCGTTCCAGCTGCGTCACCTACTTTAAATTGTAGATCAGTTTTTACTCATCTTCCTTTCTGATGCCACCTCTGGTTGAAGAAATGAGGCTTGGCAACGTGGGATCACCTAGGCGTCTGAAGCAGCTGCCACTGCTGGTGTGAGATGTTCATTTTGAAGCAGACACTTGACTCCTTCAAGGACATGCTTCTTACGGTGCTTAATCAAAGAGTGAGTTACTGTGGCTTACTCACTGATTGCTAGGAGGTAATGCCCGGTGACTCAAGGGCTCATCTCCAAACCTTGGAGCCGTTCACTACATGCTGATGGGAGGTCCATCCAGGAAGACAAAACTCTCACCTCAGCATTATCTTGTAAAGTCAAATCCGAGCTTGTGCCTCCAGCTCCCACTTCATTGGCGTTGCAATCTTGGAAGAAGAAAAGGGGGATGTGCATCCCTTTCTCTGCCATTGCTGAACTCTGACTTTATAATAAATCTGTGTTGTCACATCGTTTAGAATGCGGGAAAACACACAAAGATAAAACACTCCCCAAATCGGGAGGGAGGGCCTGGAGAAACATCTCAAAATAACCGCTTAGGGAAACTTTCGCTTTCCCTGACTGAACAGCTGTTCCCATTTCTGGGCTGCCTTGGTGGCTTCTACACAGCTAAGACTTCTTTTCAGTCTCCCTTGGAGCTGAGTAGGGCGTTCCTAACTGCTATCTTGCTACTGAATCAGACAAGTAAGTGAGTCTGCATTAAAGTTTTATAACTAATCCCAATCAACAGTAGTTCTGGTAGGAGACTAGGGGGATGGCACTGTAGCTAGAGTTTTCCTGCCTGGTCCACAGTCAAGACAAATCTCTCTCACCTGTCAGTCCCACAGCCACTCAGACCCGACCAAGTAAACACAGAGACTTATATTGGTTACAAACTGTATGGCCGTGGCAGGCTTCTTGCTAACTGTTCTTACAGCTTAAATTAATCCATTTCCATTAATCTATAACTTGCCACATGGCTTGTGGCTTACCGGCATCTTCACATGCTGTTTGTCATCATGGCGGCTGGCAGTGTCTCTCTGACTCAGCCTTCCACTTCCTAGCTTTATTCTCCGCCTTGTCCCGCCTATACTTCCTGCCTAGCCAATGGCCAATCAGTGTTTTATTTATTGACTAATCAGCAACACATTTGACATACAGACCATCCCACAGCACTTCCTCCTTTTTTTTTTCAAAAAGGGAGGTTTTAACCTTAACAAAGTAAAATTACATATAATTTGGGAATTTGGGTGTAGCTTCTCTTACTACTTCCTGCTGGAGGGGGGCACTGTATCTTATGGGGACACAAAGAAAATTTTAGGATTATGGAATAGTCCATGAGGCTGTATTGTCTGAGCCAGATGCCTTCAAACCATTCTGGATGTTGGATCATCTGGGCCATGGTGTCATCGGAGACCTTTCAGGGGGTCTTGGCTGGTCAAACCTGATGTATCTTAATCTGGAACAAATCCATAGCCTTTGGCTTTCTGTGGGAACAAAAGCAGAGTCTCCTTTCCAAAGCAACATATCCTTATATCCTTTGAAGTCAAGGTATCTTTAAAATATATATATTGGTTTAACTCAACATCTTTTACAATCAAATGTTTTTCTGCAGTTAAAAATCCCAAAGACAACATAATCCAGATTCTCTGTGTAATATTCATCTTTATGTGGCTTATTTTGTATATTAATTTTACTGTCTCTTTAAAGACTTTATTTTTTAAAACTATGTATTTGTTTATATAACTGTATATATCACCTTTTTTGTCTCTTTCAAGCCTACGTATATTTTACACACATTGTAAACTATTACATCTGAATTTGTCTTGTTGTGAATCTATTGCTTTAAACTGCAGCAGATGTGGCTGCTGGCTCCGCCTACCTCAGCTTCCCAACATGGCGGTGGTTTACCACCAGCTCTGGGAGCTATCGGGGGTCTATGCTTTTATCTAAGCAGCGTGTAGTCCAGAAACCTCTTTTTTTGTTTTCTACCTGCAAAGGCTAAATCCACCACGCAACTTAATGTGCCACTTGCAGAGGCCTCATTCCTGCCCTATGGCAGGTCGAGCGCATGCTAGGAACCCGCCAGTAGCTCAAACCAGCAGCTGCTGCTCATTTGAGAGAGACAATTAGGAAGCTGTTTTTAGCTCCGTTTTAGAATCTTTTCTCAGGTTTTAGGTGGAAACTCTTGCCAACACGTTGGGCGCCATTTGTAGCTAGAGTTTTCCTGCCTGGCCCACAGTCAGGACAAATCTCTCTCACCTGCCAGTCCCACAGCCACTCAGACCCGACCAAGTAAACACAGAGACTTATATTGGTTACAAACTGTATGGCCGTGGCAGGCTTCTTGCTAACTGTTCTTACAGCTTAAAT